CATCACAGCTCACAGCAACCTCCAGCTCTTGGGCTTAGGCGATTCTCTTGCCTCAGCCTCCTGAGTAGCTGGGACTATAGGCACCCGCCACAACACCTGGCTATTTTTTGTTGTTGCAGTTTGGCCAGGGCCAGTTCAAACCCACCATCCTCGGTATATGGGGCTGGTACCCTACCCACTGAGCCACAGGCACCGCCAATCCCTTTTCCTTCAATACCTCTGCCTCTGCTCCTTGGGCATCAAGTATTTCAGAGAAGTATAGATGCTGCAGGATTATGGAGTATATTGGGGAAGGAAAAAGATTACTGGATTGGGAGATAGGAGACTTGGATTCTAGTTACTATTTAAACTCAAAGTCACGTGTTCCTAGGCAAGTCATTTGATCCAAGTTTCTCTTTCCAAATTTCTATCATAAAGCTGTATTTCTTCCAACTGTATGATATAGTGATTGCTTAAGTGTACCTTGGAATATGCAGGGCTTACTTATCTAAATATGGTTTTAATTGGGTTCATTCAGTGTGCCTGTCACCTCTGACATGATTTACTCTTTACTTCTTACCTTGTGTGTCACTGTCTTATCACACACAGAGTGACTCCCCTTCTATAGTAGAAATAGAACTCAACTCTAAGCAGTACTAATACTTTTAGTATAAATGATGTGCTTTTACTTTATTGAAAAGTAATTGTCAATTTTTGTGTATCAGGGATAACTAGGTTTCTCTTCTGTTTCTATCTGGGATTGTTGATATTGTTCAATTCAACATGGTTGTTGACTTACATATTGAGAAGATCATTAACTGGAGATCCGTTTCTTCTAAAGTTTGCAGTCTAGTGGAGGAGATAGAGTAATTTGAGAAGTTTCTCATGCTTGTGCTAAGGGCTCTTCTATACTGAGAGCCTTGGGAACACAGAGGTTGGATTCTCCAGGCTAAAATAATCAGGAAAGCCTTTCCAAGGAGGTCACACCTGATTTTCAGTACTTTTAAGTGTGAATAAGTATGTGGTGATCCGACAACACAGATCTTATTAAAGTATTTTTTTTTAATTTCCCTAAGTGGTGTTGAACTAGAATAGCTTCAAAGTTTTCTCTTCTTATTGAAGTGTTTTTGTTCTCAATGAAATGCCATTGCAGTAAGACAACTTCTTGTAACTTTCCATTGTAAGCACTGCCCATTTTGCTCCACACCTATTTTTTTATTTATTTATTTATTTATTGACACAGAGTCTCACTCTACCCTTGGTAGAGTGCTGTGGTGTCACAGCTCACAGCAACCTCAAACTCCTGGGTTTAAGTGATTCTTTTGCCTCAGCCTCCCAGGTAGCTGGGACCACAGGTGCCCAACACAACGCCCAACTATTTTTGTTGTTGTTGTTTTGTTTAGCAGGCCCGGGCTGGGTTCAAACCCACCAGCCCCAGTGCATGTGGCTGGTACCCTAAGCACTCAGCTATGGCACCAAGCCCTCAACACCTATTCATAGCAGAAAAGGTCCTCATTTTTTAGGCCAATGTCCACTTGAAATCAATATCAAAAGGGAGTAAGATTTTATTTTATGTTATGTTATTTGTTTTTTGAGACAGTCTCACTTTGTTGCCCTCAGTAGAGTGCTTGGTGTCATAGCTCACAGCGACCTCAAACTCCTGGGCTCAAGTGATTCTCTTGCCTCAGCTTCCCAAGTAGCCGGGACTACAAGCATCCACCACAACACCTGGCTATTTTTAAGAGACCAGGTCTCACTCTGGCTCAGGCTGGGCTCAAACTCCTGAGCTCAGACAGTCCACCTCGGCCTCCCAGAGTACTGGGATTAGAGTGTGAGCTACTATGCCCAGTGGGAGTAAGATTTTATTGTAGATATGTTATCTCTTGGACTGTTTTCCACAAAATCCTTTTCTATTTAATAGGCGTTCAGTTGAGAGGGAGAGATGAAGAAATTCTGTGGAAAAATAAGTTGATGAGTTAGAGTTCATCAGGTTTATTTATTACATTACTTTTTAGAGAATTTAAAATGATAATATACACTGAAATGTTAAGATGGTGGAGAATATGCAAGGTTTCCTTAATTTATGGAATTCTTTCTTTTGGGGGATTGTCTTGTGAGCCATCAATGAAATAGTTTAGAAAGACTACTCTGTCTAGGCCAGGGTTTCTCAGCCTCACCACTACTGAGAGTTTGTTGTGGGGGTGGGTCCTGTGCATTGAAGAACGCTTAGCTGTACCTGGCTCCTACCCACCAGATGCCAGTACCATTCCTCAAGTTGTGACAACAGAAATGTCTGCGGACATTTGTCACATATTTCCTAGGGAACAAAATCTCTCCTAAGTTGAGAACCACTGGTCTAGATGGTAGGTTCATTCGGAGTACAGCCTCTAACTTCTCCCTGATTCCAGAACATAGATTAGCCATGTGATAGTTAAATAAATGAGTAAATGTCGATCGAATAAACTAGACCTTATGATCAGGAGATCTCAGATTGTTCAGATTCTAAAAAAATATCAGATTATAGACAAGAAGGTCCAGCACTATTGGTATTGTTTCACTATCTTAATTAGTAAATAAATTGATAAATAGAGCTGTGTTTAATCTTCTATCTGTACAACCTATAAAAATGCAGGCTAATTTGTGGGAGATTAAAGATCATCTCCAACTCTGGGGATGATGGCTCCTGAGCTTAGAGACTTTTTTTCTGAGTCTTTTTTTTTTTTTTTTTTTT